TTTTAATTTTATTTGATATTAATTTATTTAACTAATCTATTATTTTATCCTTTATTTAGAGAGTAAGTAATCAATGATTTTATTTTACATTTTCATTTTAACTTTATTTGATATTAAATTATTTACCTAATACATTATTCTATCCTTTATTTAGCTCGTAAGAAATCAACGATTTTATTTTGCATTTTCATTTAATTTTATTTGATATTAATTTATTTAACTAATCCATTATTCTATCCTTTATTTAGGAAGTAAGAAATCAACGATCTATTTTACATTTTCATTTTAAATTTATTTGATATTAATTTATTTTACTAATCCATCATTTTATCCTTTATTTAGCTCGTAAGAAATCAATGATTTTATTTACATTTACATTTTCATTTATTTGATATTAATTTATTTAACTAATTTATTATTCTACCTTTATTTAGGGTGTAAGAAGTTAATGATTTTATTTTACATTTCATTTTAATTTTATTTGGTATTAATCTATTTAACTAATCAATTATTCTACCCTTTATTTAGGGAGTAAGAAATTAACGATTTTATTTTATGTTTTCATTTTAATTTTATTTGCTATTAAATTTATTTAACAAATCAATTATTCTACCCTTTATTTAGGGAGTAAGAAATCAACGATTTTATTTTATGTTTTCATTTTAATTTTATTTGATATTAATTTATTTAACTAATCCATTATTTCATCCTTTATTTAGCTAGTAAGAAATCAACGATTTTATTTTTCATTTTCATTTTAATTTTATTCGAAATTAATTTATTTACCAATCTATTTTTCTATCCTTTATTTAGTGGGTAAGAAATCAACGATTTTATTTTACATTTTCATTTAATTTTATTTGATATTAATTAATTTAACTAATCCATTTTTCTATCCTTTATTTAGAGAGTAAGAAATCAACGATCTATTTTACATTTTTATTTGACATTAATTTATCTAGCTAATCCATTATTCTATCCTTTATTTAGGGAGTAAGAAATAAACGATTTTATTTTGCATTTTCATTTAAATTTATTTGATATTGATTTGTTAACTAATCCATTATTCTATCCTTTATTTAGCTCGTAAGAAATCAACGATTTTATTTTACATGTTTACATGTTCATTTTAAATTAATTTGATATTAATTTATTTTACTAATTCATCATTTTATCCTTTATTTAGCTCGTAAGAAATCAACGATTTTGTTTTACATCTTCATTTTAATTTATTTGATATTAATTTATTTAACTAATGTATCCTTTATTTAGGGAGTAAGAAATCAACGATTTAATTTTATACTTTCATTTTAATTTTATTTGATATTAATTTATTTAAGTAATCCATTTTTCTACCCTTTATTTAGTTGGTAAGAAATCAATTTTATTATACATTTTCATTTTAATTTTATAAGATATTAGTTTATTTAACTAATTTATTATTCTACCTTTATTTAGGAAGTAAGAAATCAACAATTTTATTTTACATTTTCATTTTAATTTTATTTGATATTAATTTAACTAATCCATTATCTACCCTTATTTAGAGAGTAAGAAATCAACAATTTTATGTTATATTTTCATATTAATTTTATATTTATTTATTTAACTAATCTATTATTCTACCCTTTATTTAGGGAGTAAGAAATCAACGATTTTATTTTATATTTTCATTTTAATTTATTTGATATTAATTTATTTAACTAATCCATTATTATATCCTTTATTTAGCTCGTAAGAAAGCCACAATTTTATTTATACTTACATTTTAATTTAATTTGAAATTAATTTATTTAACTAATCCATTATTCTATCCTTTGTTTAGGGAGTAAGAAGTCAACGATTTTATTTTATATTTTCATTTAAATTTTATTCGATATTAATTTATTTAACTAATCCATTTTTCTACTCCTTATTTAGGAAGTAAGAAATCAATGATTTTATTTTACATTTCCGTTTTATATTTATTTGATATTTATTTAACTAATACATTATTTTACCTTTATTTAGATCGTAAGAAATCAACAATTTTATTTTATATTTCATTTTCATTTTATATTAATTTATTTAATCCATTATTCTATTGTTCCTTTATTTAGCTAGTAAGAAATCAACGATTTTACATTTACTTTTGATCTTATTGATATTAATTTATTTAACTAATCCATAATTCTATCATTCCTTTATTTAGCTCGTAAGAAATCAACGATTTTATTTTATTTTTATTTTAATTTTATTTGATATTAATTTATTTTACTAATCCACTATTGTATTCTTTCTTTAGTTGGTAAGAAATCAACGATTTTATTTTACATTTTTTTAATTTTATTTGATATTAATTCATTTAACTAATCAATTATTCTATCCTTTATTTAGTTGGTAAGAAATAACGAATTTATTTTAAATTTTCATTTTAATTTATTTAATATTAATTTATTTAACCAATCCATGACTCTATCCTTTATTTAGATGGTAAGAAATTAATGATTTATTTTGCATGCTAGGTAGGATATTCACCTTTTAATTAATTTTTTGAATTTCTTATTACCATTTTATTTTAATATTTCATACCTTTTTATTAGATATCAATTTAGTATATTTAATACAATTTCTTACCAATGTTCTAATAAAGGTTATAGGTGAGAAATAATTTATTCTGTTTTCTTTTTTATTTATATTAAATTATTCTTCTATTTTTCATTTATATATAGTGTTCGTTATTATAAACTCTATGGAATAACATGCGATCCTTCAAATGGAAAATACTTTTTAGTTATCACTTATGCCAGACATGGCAATCTTCGCCATTATTTACGAAATCAATTCAACGAAATAACATGGAACGATCGCATACGAGTGCTATATGATATTTGTACAGATCTCCAGTCTATTCATTCACAAGGTATTATACACGGTGATCTACATCCTGGAAATGTTCTTCGATTAGATAAATATGGAGCTATTATCTGTGATATGGGTGCTGCAATCAGACAAGATTCTACTAAAAAAAAACGCCAAGTGTCTGGTGTGATGCCATTCGTTGCACCAGAGATTTTCCGAGGAGAAGTATTCAGCATGGCATCAGATGTATATGCATTGGGAATGGTGATGTGGGAGTGGTGTGTTGGTAAACCGCCATTCGGTAAACGTCCTTTCGATGTTAATTTGGCTTTGGATATATGCGATGGTTTACGACCAGAATTACCGGAAAGATTACCTGACTTTTATCGCGACCTGATTGTACGTTGTTGGCATCAAAACCCCTCACAAAGACCAACTTCCAAAGAGATATGTGACATCGTTAAAAAATGGTATTATAAGGAAACTACGGAAACGGAAAAACAGCAAATAATCGCCGCCGAGGAGTTTAGAATTGCAAAATCATCAGAATATGATTCCAAAGAAAGTTACACGACCCATCCATTGGCCGTTTATACGAGCAAATTTTTGCCGTATGTGAATCAGAAAAGTTAGTATTTTTCAATAATGTTTGTATAATCTAATCCTATTAAGTTATTAAATATTATGTCAAAATACAAAGAAAATGATCCATCAGAATATCAAACACTTCAATATGATCTCGATCTCGAAGAACCCGAAGATGAATTGAAATCATGGTAATTGAGGTGGGAAATTTCATTAAGCGTTATCGAAATTGACAAAGGTTTTAGGGAATGGATATCGGTCTCAGAACGGTTAGTGAGTCATCGATTTACCGGCTCTTTATATTTTCTGTTTTAGTCATTTATATTCAAAATTTTCACTTTATCTCTTTAAAACTCCATTTTAAAGGACCGATAATTTTTTGGACATATTTCAATAATTATTTTTACTCATCAATCTTACTGTTAAATAAATTTTAAATAATAAACTATTTATAAGAATTTTGAAGCATGACTGAAGTTCTATTTAATTGGCTAATGATTTTCATGAAAGATGATTGGCCGTCCAGATTCTATTATTATCGTTATACAGTGTCAACCGTCGATCTTAAATCGCAAAATTTGCAATCACGAAAGTAACGACGAGCATGCAAATGATGAAATACGCATCAGCAAACACAACTTAAGCTATCTATAAAAAACGACCGGACATTATTGTGCCCAACTATGGGCAATAATTGGTAATCCGCAGAAATGATAGTGCGTTTTTTTTATCGTTTATTAAATAGAAATCATTTCCCAAATAAAATTTTATTCGAAACGAATATAATCGAATAAAAAAACCTAAAACATTACACTACCACTTCGTACCCCCCCCCCCCCTTTGCTTTGATCACATCCCTTATCCTCTCCAGCATCATGTTAACAAAGATTGTTTTTATTAGAAATTACATCTGGAAGTGCACAAAGAAGATCAACATCATGCCACAAATTTTCAATTGGATTGAGATTGGGGATTGTGACGGCCACTTTAAAATGGATATATTATAATTTTTGAACCACTTCAAAGTTTTGCCAGCAACAGGTTTAGGATCATTATCCTGCTGAAAATAAAATCATTAGACGCTAAATTATAGAATTGCTTTCAAATACTGCTAATGCCGGTTATGCAAGAAGTCAATTTTTATTAAGATATAGCTATGAAGAAATTCAAATACAAAAGAAATGGAAGAAACATTATTCAAATTTCTTTTAAACTCGTCCAAAAATGGTATATCTTATTTCTATTTTCGACTTGGACAATGTTATGAATTTGGCGAAGGGACAAACAAAGATGATAATAAAGCATTTAATTGGTGTTTAAGAGCGGCTGAGTCTGGATACAATAAAGCTCAATTTACTATTGGAAAATCTTATTAATATGGAATAGGTATTATGAAAAATCTTGACTTATCATTAAAATGGCATCAGAAATCTAAAGAAAACAGTTATGATCGAGCCCAGAAATGGTTAAATCATTTATTTTAAAAAAATTTATTCTAATTGGTAGTTATTTTTTGTATCAATTTTAACTTTAAGTAGAAGATTTAATGTAACTTTTACAAATTTATGTATAGCTTATTTTTTCAGCCATAAATTTTGATACCTCACAGTATATGTCATGAACTTGCGTGCTTTTATATGATGGATGCCATCTAACATCCCAGCAACCACAATTCCGACACGCCATAAAGCGTCAAGTATAATTCCGAACCTCCAATATTTATCCCGAAACTCCCAACATTTCGAAATCCTAACATACCGAATACCAATCTCACGAAAGCCCGAATATGATATGATGTTCAAAATCGTAAATCCCAATATCTTTGTATAAGAATCAGCCACTGGTTCAGAAGATAGTAAAAAAAGAATATTTATTACCGTACAATACTTCTTGTAAAGCTGTACCATACGTTTTATCATAAGACTCAGTTTTGAGAATTTTTGAAGTGTGTTTCCGGAATATTGGATTTCAGGATGTTAGGATTTCGGGCTCATTAGGGAGGTCATATGATAACAATATATTTGTTTGATTTACCATTTAAATAAAATAAAACTCGAAAATTGCATAAATGGTCACAAAAATGATTGTAAAAGTTGCCAAAATGGATTGTTTAGTTGTCTGAAACATAATGATTTTAATAGATACCTACAATATGTACAATGGAATTTTTATTAACATGTACAGTGGGTGGTAAGAAATATTGGATGTTTTGCGCTGATTTATATTATTAGATCTTGTGCTTTTTCTGATAAGAGGATGTTATTTATCAAGTGATATCATCCAATTAATAGATCCACCCATTCATGTATGGTGTGATAATGTAAAATAACATAGCATAAATAATTAATATAATGCAAATTTGCATGAATTAATGTGATATGGATCTGTATCAGTTGATGTTAATATATCATAGCATGAAATTGGACTACATTGAGAATTGACTGTACCATATAATAACATATTTAATTTTTAAAAAAAACTTTAGTTAATATTACATATGATAGTTTTTTCAATTGATTTTCTTTTTTAACATTATGTAATTAGATATATAATAAAAATCACATGATATATTATGATTTTGTATTATATAATAGTCAATATATATTATATATATACTATGTATATATGGTAAAAAATATATGATAAATGGCACTTCTCTAATTAGTTTATAATAAATTATTTACATATAGTAACAATCTATAATCAAAACAAATCTCATTTTTATATGATGCATCTAGAAGTTATAAAGCTACACACAATTTCCTCTCAAAAAATTACTTTTTAAATTTATCACATAATGTACTATGAATAGAAAGTCAGAAAGGTGGAATTATTATTACAAAAAAACTTGACCACACACATACTAAGATCTCTAAGACTGTAGATTATTCTGTAATCTGTATGTTAAAAGCATATAAGCTTAAAAAATTGTCTAAAAAATAATTAGATTATTCATGGAAGAGAGAAATGAAAGAAATATGAGATGATTTTTTTTAATTAATTTATTTATAGAAGATTCTAATATTTATTTATTTATAAAATAATTCAGGTATTTATATAATAATTCTAATATTTTGTATAATCTGGAAAGAGTCTAATGATGAGAATTTTTGTTTTGGATTACTGAAGTCTTGAGATAATTGCATACAGATTTGGTAGATGATCTGATCATTTTAGACAATTTTTTAAGCTTATGTACTTCTAATATGTGGATTACAAAATAACCTACAGCCTTAGAGATCTCAGTATATATATGGCCCAAGTTTTTTTGTAATAATAATTCCAACTTTCTGACTTTCTATTAATTCTTTTTCATGGCACATTATGTGATAAAATTTAAAGAGCAATTTTTGAGAGAAAATTGCATGTAGCTTTATAACTCCTGGATGCATTGTATAAAGATAAAATTTGTTTTGGTTATAGATTGTCATATATGTAAATAATTTATTATAAAATAATTGTCAAAAAAAATACAAGATCCAATAATATAAATTAATTTAAAAATACGCAAAATAACTAATATTTCTTATCATCCACTGTATATGTACATACCAGATAACATCAACATGTAAATCTTGATGTATTAGTCAATTTTTTAATTACACTTTTTATTGTTTCATAATGAAAAATAATGCAAAACTCACAGACTTTCAACATAAACAAATGGTTGAGTTATGAAAAATAGAAAATTTCTTTAGCTATTAGTAATTTTATTTAATCTGTTAAAAACATGATCTAGAGTTAGTATTGAATGAAGAATGAATAAAATTCAAATTAACATATATATTAATTTGATTGAAGGTGTGCAAAAATCAAGGTATGTATTCAACATGAAGGATGGATCATGAAGTATTTAATGTTACATTAATTATTAAATTCAAGATTTGAAAAAATTGCGGGAACTTTGAATACTTTGTTAAAAATCATAATTGATCTCATAAAATTAAAATCCAAATAAGAATAATCAATAAATCAAAAAAATGTTAATGTTAACTGAAAATTTGCTTGAACTTGCATAGTGATTCGAAGGGGTCAAATTGGGATGGATTTTGAGACATATTTGAATTTGACCCAAGTATAAAAACTAAAATATAAAAATACTCGGATTATCATTTATATAATTAAATTCGACTTAGTCACCTGTGGTTTGACTCGACCAATTCATGATCAATCTGAATTTTGTTAAAATTAATAAAACATAAAAATAAAAAACTTGAATTATATTTATTTATGTTGTAAATTGATATGTTAACTCTATTTTATATTTTACTTTATACTTTATGTCCACCAAGATTTCAAACACATACATGCATGAATTGTATCTGTGTTAAGACTATATCATTTAAACTTTTTTATTTGTAATTGCATGTTATCATTATTGCTAAATATGTATATACTGTATCGCACTGCTTACAGTATCTCTATGATTAAGATCCGGATGCTTTTCACTACCTTTGATAGTGTAATCTTGAATAATATTTGGGTACTATTCAAAGTCGATCTTAACTAATTTTGATTAGTATCCAGGTACAAAGCATGATTTTTACAGATAAAACTTTTTTTCATTATTGAAGTCTTTTACTATACCCATTGTTAAAAATGACTAATTTCAAATATTGATATAATTTTCTTCTTGTTCATTATATTCTAAATCTCTTCCAAATTATTAGTTTCATTTTTTACATTTATTACAATTTTGCTTCTTCTTCAATACTGATTTCTACATCTCTTTGTTCTTGTGCTTGTTCAAAATCAAAAATCAAACCATTCTCAAAGCCATCTATATTTGTAGAAATTCCACAATATTTAAGAGATCATTGAACTTTTGCTGGATCAATTGCTTTTCAAGCTTCTTTAATCCAATTTGCTACAAGTGATTATGCTGATTGCTTGATTTTGCCTGCTGATATATATTCTTTGATAGCTTCATCCATCTACTAATTATAAATATGCTGAATCTATTGACAAAATATTATAAAAACATATTTGAAAAATGAAATATTATTTTAAACTAATCTTTGCTTTGAATGCTTTATTTAAAGATATATCTAATAGTTGTAAACATGAAGTTAATTCATCCTAAATAACAGTCATATCAGTATTTTTCTCATCCAAATGGCATTTTACTGTATCCATTTTATGACCAGTAAATGAATCTAGATTAAGAAGAGAATGTGAATTTGAATCTGGATTGGCTCATCAATTCCATATATCTTCTATCCACCAAAGCATCTCTTTTTCATTCATCCATCCATTTGGATTTGTATGAATAAATACATCTTCAGGGCATTGCTCTTGTGGTATTTTAACCAATTTAAAAATGATCAAAGGAAGAAGTTTCGTACCATCTGCAAAACTGGCAAGAGACTGTAAAATGAATACATTCATCATCCATGGTAAGAAGAGAAACAGTTTTTACTTCATGTTTTTCAATAGTTGTTGAATTTAGCAAATTAAATGCCATAGAAGTTTTCATCCATATTTCCAATTAGTTTTAAAGAATAATCATACTCGTCCATCAATAAAGAATAAATGATAAAAAATTTTGAGATATTCTTTGGGCAGTCATTGTGCATTTGTGGTACATTGATGATTCACCAACAAATGTCATGACATAAAACCATCCACCCCATTTTTATGAAAATTGGCATTTTTGAATAGTTGGATATAAGGTAATATATTGTTGTTTTTGTGTTAATTTGCAAACTTTTGCTGCAATCATATACCGAGTTACAATTTTTAATTGTAGTCGTAATTCACAAAACCACCCAAGAAGTTCTTCCAATTCTGGATACTTGGGACATTCACCAACATTAAGCCATTGAATATAAGGAGCTACACAAATTAAGTTGTTCTTCTTTTTTTCTAATCACGAAGTTGTTTTGGTTCAATTTCATATTTTCTTGCTGCTGCCCGTAAGCTATGTCCATTTTCGTGATATAATACAACCATCAATTTTTCTCAAGCATTCCATTGACATCTTTTTTTTGTGTATTCCTTGCTCGTTGAACGTGAAAATTTCCTCGCGGCATTTTATAAGAACTCATTATTAAAAATTACAAGAAAGTTGAAAATCTAGCAAAAAAATACCCGACAACATATATTCATAGAATCTAAAGAATTTTACTAATTCCCCCTCCCTCCCGTAATATTATATATATACATGTAGCATTGATAATTTAACATTATTTATATTAAAAGCCTATTTCGAAAGAATAAATTTCGAATTGAAATTCTTGCATAGTTATCAGTTAATTTTGAAGTAATTCACACGTTTTGCATTTTTTGTAAATTCGTCTTCCGATGTTAGTGCTACAAAAATACAAATAAATTGGTGAATCATTGTACAAGTTTTCAGTTCGTTACAATATCTCAAATCCCGACGGTTCATAATTCTGACAATCCAACTTCCCGAAATAGGGAGCGGTTAAAGCGTAGTCCATGTCCAAATAGGTGCGTAAATTTTTGAGCAAACCAGCAAAACAAATCCGACACAAGTTATGAAAAATGAATATTACAAGCAAACCAATACCTAATCTGTTTTTGAATGCTAATTAAGAATCTCGGGATGGCAATTTTACATATATTCTTGTCCTCCGTCCTAACCTTTACCCTGACCTTATAAATTATTATCGGTCAGAATGTTGAATTGTCGGGATTGTGAACTGTCGGGCAGGATATAGATGTCGGCCTATAGTTCACCAAGTATTCCTATAGCGAAGTGTTCGTATCTCGCTGTTTTTCTTGGTGTTGTATTTCTTATATGGATTAATCCGAGAAAATATTATCTTATTATTGCTGAAGCAAAATTGCTTTTAAGATCTAAGTCTATCGAGGTGATGAAAGAATTTGTAATTTATTAAACTTATTTTTTTAGAACTGCTTAATTTGAAGGTATATCTATCCCGTATTTGTTTTT